TTGGCCTCTCCTATCTGTCCCTTGGCACACACTGTCCTTCCTATTTAGCCCACACTTCTTTTCCAAGCTAACTCCTACTCATATTTCAAGTCTTAACTTGGATATTCTTTGTAGAAACTTTGTCTGAACCCCTATAATATCTTGGGTCCCTTTAGAAGGGCACTGTCTATTTTAAATGATAAAGATACTAACTATATACAATAATCACTAATATCTACTAAGTGCTCACTGTATTTCCCCCTGTTAAATCACTTGATCATCATCACTATCTGCTGAGTTGGGTACCTGACTACCTTCAGAGGAAATCATATCTCAGAAACATTTATTGTCTTGAGATTCACATGACTCCATGAGGGCCAAATTTCTCCCTCATCCAGCCCCAGAGTTCATGTTTGTAACCAGTCCATCATTCAGCCTCTTACAAAGTTCACCATGTTAGTAATTATTTGATTCCACTAGGCCAGCAAACTCCATAAAGACATGGGTAGATAAGTCTTGTTCAATATTTGGTTTCTAAAGCCTAACCCAGAAGTGAGCACACAGAAAGAAGGACACGTTAAATAAATAAGTGAAACAGCTACTTGGTAATCCCTCCTGGAATCTCCAAGGAGATTATTCACCCTTTCTCAATGAAAGATACTTAGTCAAAAATGTATCATGATCGTGGGAGTGTTTATTCTAGTTTCCCTCACTGCCACCCAACGCCAGCCAAACAAATCCAAGCATTCAGCCCAGGAAAAGGAACTTTCTGGAAGTCAGTGAAAGCTTCCTCCAAAGCTTTCTTGGAGGAAAAGCAGAGCTAGAGCAAAAGAAGCACAGAGGTACACCAAGCCGACTCACCCCTCTCGCAGGTTCTGCCCCAGTACCCCGTTCCCGTGCAGTCGCAGATGAAGCGGTTCCAGCCATCCTTGCACACGGCGTTGTTCTTGCAGGGGTAGCTGTCGCACTGCTTGGCGCTCATGCGGGAACAGGAGGACTTGACGCCCGCCGCATTCTGCATCTCCGCCAGCTGCCGGATGTTCTTGCTTCGACCGTCAATGAACAAGTCCCGGATGCAGCCCACGTAGCCGTAGTTAAGCATGGCGGTCCAGAGCTCGGTGGGGAGGATGAGGCCCGCGCGGTTCTCTGGCAGTCCGCCCAGGTACATGTCCCCCTCCAGGTCCAGGATCTCACTTTCCCCGCTGGCAGTGAAGGGCGTGCGCCTGCTGTTCACTGATATGGTACCTGGGGTGGAGAAGGGACCAGCTATGTGAGTTAAGGGGCGCGCCTTGCTCTCCTGCCTTCCCCTCCGTGCCCTGATAACCTGTAGATGGAACTTAGCTAAGAGCCCTGCCAGTACATATTTTGGACATTACCAGTTATACATTTTAACAGCGACATGTTTCTTTATTCATTTACTAAATGTATTTCTTGTATCGTTCTAGACAAAGAGATGAGCTTGTCAGGCGTATCCATCCTTCCTCTCACTGAGCTGATGTTGCAGAATAACAACGAAAACGACAACAACAGCAAAAACAGCCCAATAAACAAGGGAAATTAGCAGGTGCCATGAAGACAGTAAGATAGGTGCCCTGGGAGCAGCCCATAGCTCTATTTTAAAGTGTGTAAATTCCCTTTGATGAATGTGACCATTGTGTGTATCAAAAGAGCACCAATAAATTAATTTTTTGAAAAGAATAGAAAAAATGGAATGTATATAAGGAAGGGAAGAAGGGTTGAACAGAGGAGGGGAATGGGGAAAAAGAATCAAGATACATTATGTACAGGTACAAGTTCCCTATATGAATGCAATCATTAAGTATATCGAAAAAGCACCAATAGAGTTAATTTTTAAAAACTATGCAGTCACTGGAGGCCTCTCTAGGTGACAGTTAAGCTGAAACTTGAATTGTAAGAAGGATCCAGACTTGCAATTTCTAGGGGACAGAGGTGTGGAGCAAGGGGAGCCAACAGGAGACAAGGCAAGAGGGAGGCAGACCGGAGCAGGGGCTGGATTATGATTCTAGAAGGCATAACCCCATGTGACTAGGAAGTTGGGAACAGAGATTCTTGCCTTGTCTAGGCTTTCTGACCCTGGGCCAGTCCCTGACCCACTTTACAGCTCAGTTTTCTAAAACTCTAAAATCAAGGAAATGGACTAGATAATATAGAAACATCCTGCCAGAAATTTTTAAAAAATATTTATTATTCTTAAAGTGCTTTAGGAGTACCAACATAACCAGGCTTGTCATCCATCAGTCAGCCTTCACTCCTGACTGAGCCCTGATTCCCTCAGCTAAGAAGGGTATGAGCACAAGAGCTGAGAAGATCAGAGGAGATCAAGACTGTAAAGCACACTCTAAATTACAAAGTCATTGTCAGAAGAGAACACTGGGGGTAGGGGCAGGGTTAAGCTGATACTCTGCTTCCTCAACTCTCCTGTAGAAGTTTTCTTGAAGAGAAATATGCTTTGCCTTTTAGTCTCTTAATGCTACAGAACTCTTCAGGACAATAATAATGCCCTGGCTACCATTTTAAGTATTGTATGTGCTCTTGTGTGTTTATTTATCTATTTACTTAATTTTTGGTGCAGAGATGACACTAAGTGGGCCTCACACATAAGCACACATTTTACCACTGAGCCACATCCCAGCCCACTTATGTCCCTATTTAATTTGACCCTTGAAACAATCTTGAGAGACAGAAATTTTATTCTATTATACAAATGAGGAAGTTGAGGGTTGTGCCTCTTAACATCTTCTCTTGCAAAATTCCCCTTCTTTACCCTCCACATGTCCACAGAGCTAATCTAATCCCAAACTAACAGAGAGGGACATTTGTGTCTAGTAAGGACAGTACTAGAATTGCTTAAAAATGTGGATCCTTAATTACATCCTAAGGAAAAACTGTCCTCTGAACGTGTGACCAAAATTCTTTTGAATGCTTTTATTATTTTTCAGACTTACTTTCCTAATCTAGGAGCGATTAGAAAAGTTTCTAGTTCACTTCTCAGTCATATTATCCTTCGGGATGATCAAGAAAAATATGCCATATTTAGATACTATGCACACATTTTTATAAAAATCAATGTTTGCAAAAGTTTATAATGAAAAACAACACATGAGAAACTAGCCTCATAAAAAAATAAAGTTTAATGAATCGCAGTAAAATGTGAAGTTGCACTGCTTTTCTGGGACAATTATTTGTTTACTCAATAAATTTTTATAGGTTTTGATCAAATTCATCAGTACTTCAAAGCCAATGCTATAGCTTGCAGGTATGAAATTCTAGGCTTCTGAAATGCAAACATATTTATCAAAGATGGGCCCACTGATAGTTCTAACAAAACAAAACAAAATAGCAACCCTACTAGAAAAAAAAATGATTAGCGTTGGGAATAAATAAACATATGGCACTTTTATGTGTTCTAGCCTATGTGTGACACAGATAAGTAAATTTTAAGGTGTGTCAAGGTCTAGATTAGACACAAAATCCTTTAACCATGACCTAACACATGGTCTTAACCAACAGTAGTGTTTTTGTTTGTATTTCTTTGTTTTTATAATTCTGAGACAGCTGTCTAGCTCAGTCCCTGTTGACTGAGAGAGAGATATTTAGGCTCCAAAGAAATTAATTTTTTGCAGGTTTTTCTCTTTAAAAAGTGCCAACTGTTCATTCTTACTCAATAAGCATATTTAATTTGAAGCCTCTTGGTTCTGATCAAATTTCAGACAATCAATAGGGATTCCTAGTGGGCAATAAAACATCCAGGGCTGCAATCTGCCTCTGCACAGAACCCATTCAGCTCTTCCTAAGGGTGATGTTGCTCATCTCTGCCATCCTCTAGCTCTGAAATTATGTGGGAAAGCCATCCCATCAAAGCTCAGCAATTTCTACCTTCAGCTTTCTGGGGGCCCTATTGCTTTTTCTTACTGGTCCAATGCACCTAGGAAGAAAATGTCCATATGAAGCCTTCTTTTTATGTTCGTGAGGAGAATAAATGCAAAATAGCACATGTAGTCAAGGTTCTTCTTGAGTGTACACTACCTAAATGAGGGATAGAAAATGAGTCTGAAATACAAATGTTCAAATTACCACTCCTTGGAAAATACCATTTCTGATAGCAAAGTATGTGAACTTTGTTGCCACAGAGTTGGGCAGATTGTCCAGGCATTCAGAAGCCCCAGACTCTGTTATGGCCCCCTCACCGCCCCCCACACACACACACATACACTCTCTGTTACTATTCCAGAGTGGCTATGTACTGCCTGGGGCTAGTTTGTTTGGTCTGCAGCTGCAGAAAACAGTTGAAGCCATTTAAACCAAATGTAAAAGGTTATGAAGAAGAAAAGAGAGTTAGGGAGGTCTGAGCAAAGAGTGAAATATAGGCTCTCACACCAAAGGAAGGCTTTAAATTGAATATGATTTCAGGAAAAATCAATTTGCCTTTTCCTTTGTTGTCATAATTTCTCCCTGCAACATGACTCTTGCCAATTATTGAAGGGTATATCATTGCATGAAGTCTTACACAGTGAAGCTTATCGTACAGAATGATCACATAATACAGCATCTATGATGTCACAATTGGCTCCTCCACTGATGAGAAAATGAAGAAAGGGGGGATATTATACGAGTGACACAGTTGTCGCTTTGGTAGTTGAAATGCTAGTTGTAAAATCATCCTTAGCTCCAGAGTCTTAGAATTATCATGAAGATGACTGTGCAGTGAGTGACAGGGAGAGTGTGAGCCATCCAGGACAGAAGTATCTTGCCCAGAAACATAATCATACCATTAAAGAGAATAGCCAAAAAAATCAACAAGCATGCAAGTACAAAAATTTAAATAAGAAATATAAAACCAAAAAAATTGAAAACTACAGCTTCCTCCCGTCACAGTCACATTTGCTGCCTTTTCTTCTTACCTGATCTGCCGTCTCGCTGGATGTCCACATGGTACCATTCCCCATCATTTGCTTTCTTCTGAGTGGCTTTCACTTTGATGGTGCCTGAGCCCATGTCAAGCAGCAAGTACAGGTTGCCATCAAGAAGTTCCACAGCAAAGAAGTCAACTTTTGTGTTCTTTTGGCTCCGGGCATCTTTCCTCTCTTGGGGCTTTCCATGCGTGAAGAGGATCAGGCCATTGGGCTCAGTGGTGCGGAAGTCGAAGGAGATGGAACCCATGCGCTTCGTGTTCCACTTGGGCAAGCTGATGTAAGCCTCTGGGGTCTCGAAGTTGATGGGGTCCAGTGTGGCCACATTCTCACACTTGAATACGACTTCACCATAGATTTTCATCTTAGTGTCTCCAATCCGGGCCAGGCGAGACAGCTCCAGACGGATGTCATTATTCTTATAAACAACCTGCCAAAAGCCAAACAAAAGTGTCACATGAATCAATCTTACAAACAGTCTCCATCCATCACTCACTGGGTACCCAGAAAAGAGGTTCAAGAAGAGGCTTCAGGACATAGCAGTCTGAAACAATATGAGAAACAGGAGACACACCACTCAAAAAGGCAACCAATGTGGGGTGTGGGGTGCACACAATCTCTGAATAAACCTCTGCACTTCCATTATATTCCCTCTGTCTTTCTCTTTCTGGCCAATTTCTTGTGTTGTGCCAAAGTTATACGACATGAACTTGCAAATAAAAATCATGACACACTGAATTGTACAGATGCAAATGCTTTTGTATAAATTTACTGAAGGATCCTCAGTACAAGAACAGAAATAACCTAAATGACCCTAAGTAACATATGAAAATATATTTATAATGGAGTATTATGTGGCCTTTAAAAATGAGGTATTCCTTCTGGCTCTGACACGGAGATCCCTCAAGTCATATTGTTAAATGAAGTTAGCAAGGAACAGGTCAGAATGTGCATTACACTGTCATGGTGTGGAAGTTGCAGGGAGGGGGTGATGGGGAGTGTTACATATGTTCATATCAGCATAAAATATCTTTCCAAAAATCACAAAGAATTTTAAGGTTGTCATTAGGGAGTGGATTTGTGGGATTCATATTGAAAAGTTGAAAAAAAGGTTTACTTTTCACCTATCCTCTTACATCGTTTGAATTTAAAAATCATATATATATGTATGTATTTCTTTAAAAAATTGAGAGGTACGACTTGGTGGGGAAGAGAACTTGTGGTTTTTGCCCATTGAGGGTGCACTTAATGAAGTAGTTGGATGAGACTCCTGAAACCCTAATTCAGTCAGTTGGAAACATTGAATTAACTGAGAGTCAGAATTCACAGAGAACACCGATCCAGCTATTGGGCTGCCCTGTAAGCAGCAGGCTTCTGCCCCCATCCCCACCCAGGGTGCAGTGCCCTTCTGCATGGCCACAACTGTTGTCCCACACAGAAAGGCAGAGTGGTTGGGGAAAGAGAAAATGCCAGTTAAAAAAACCATTCATTGAGACTTTCCAAATCTGTGTAATCATATAAAAACAGAGATCAATCTAGTTCCCTAAAATTAGAATTTCAAACAAGTTTTACTCTTCTTAAAACTGAATTTTGATGGGTTGTCCTGGGATAGTTGTCAGTGCTCTGATTTTTGAGTTCTGTCACACCCATGCAATAATAATGAGCAAGGAAGGGAAAGAGACTAAAATGTAAGTGATGAGCATATAACCACTTTGCTATTTCCTTTCCATTGTCTTATTTAAATTGAAGTTAGAGCCTGGATTTAGGTCTAAATCCTACACCTACTATTTTCAAGTTATGCATCTTTGGCAAAGTAACATCGTTGGGTCCTTTTCCTCTTCTAAAAATAGGCATGCATGGGAGCAAACTATTTTGTAAGGCTAAGATGGTTAATACATATAAAGCACTTAGAAATGGCACATAGTAAGGACACAGAGTTTTAGCTTATTGGGCAGTGGTGGTTGTGTTTGTTGTTAATCTTATCTCCTCCTTTCCACAGCCCTGAGAATGCTACTGTACAGTAGTATCATTTCTACTTCCAGTAAAACAACAAGGTACCAAAATAAGTATCACAATCCATTTCTGTGAAAGTTACCTGGATGGGTCATTTTAGTACATAACCATATAAAACCTAGCATTCAACTATAGAACTTTTTTCTTCCCTGCCTCCATCCCTGGAAGAGAATCAAGTAGAACCATTTGCCTTTTAATAGGTCTTACAAGAGTGATATATAACTATGACAAAGCATCGAAAATGTCTCACCTGTTATGTAACCATGACTGTGGCCATGACCATAGTCAATACCACTGAGATTAATAATGATCTTAACATTTGTTGACCAGGCAGTAGTCAAGACTTCTCGCCTGACATCCTATTAGATCCTGACAACACCCATTTGGGTTGCCCATAGTCATTCCCTCATTTTACAGACACAAAATCAGACACAGAGAGTATTTAGGGAGCCAGCACGGAGCTGATAAGTGGCAGAGTGGGACCGGAACACAGCTCCTGAGACCATGCACTTTTACCACGGTGGACACCTGGAACTGAGCCAACTACCATCACCCGTGAAGTTCAATGTTAACATTGTGGAATGTCATCCATGCTCAGCTTCCCAATTCAGAAGCTGAATTTCTCATTTTAGCTCCAGTGGACTGACCATGTGCAAAGGGAAACCCTGCAGGACCCTTACACAATTACTCAAGTGAGTGAACTAGAAAAGAAACAGTGGAAGCTGGATGACAGGCAGCTTCTCCTTTCTAACCCCTATTATGCTTCAGCGCATAAGAGCTCTGTGCCACAACTAAATTTTGCCTCTTTCTGCATTTGGGTGAAATGCCTATGATCAGAGCTCCCTGGAAAGGTTAATTATTATTAGATGATGATAGCTCATCCCAGAGGGACAAACAGAGGCTTGGCTCCATGGAACAATACATGGAAAGAGAGTGCATGTATCCATCCCTCTGAGAAGTGAGGACAGAAGGAGAAAAGAGCCTTTAAAGGAATGTGAAGACAGTTCTGCTGTGAGATGGGCACATCCCTGGGCCTGGAACCAACATACAGAGTTTTGGGGTGACAGGAAGGAGCGTGGCTAGGCAGAGATAATTAGATTCTCTCAAAGCCTCTTGGAAGGAGAGCTCTCCAGCCCTGTCATCATTGTCTATTTACTTGGAGTTTGCCCTATGGAGAAAATGTGAATGCCTTTATCACTGACAGCTGGGGAACCTTTCTGAGTCATATTTTGTTCAATTCCAAAAGCGGGAGCCTCAAGACCAGTGCTGTGAACTGGCCTCTTTGTCCTCCCAGGGTTGTTGTCATGATCAAATGGGATGTCACACACATTAGATCAGAATATTCTAGACTGGCGCGAAAACAGGAAAAATAATAGCAAATCCTCCTCTTCAGCAGTGCTGGGGTTCTGCTGAAACTGAGAGGGTCCTCAAATGAAGTTCCAGGAGGATCTGCTACTAAGAAGAAAGGGACAGGGCATGAGGGTCTTGCAGCCCAGTGGTTCTCAGCTGAGAACTTCCATTGATGACATCCCCACTTACCCACCCACTCTGTGCAAAGCTACAGCCATGGCCATGCAGAAGTACAGTGGCACCTTGGGTAATGTGCCACAGCATGGGGACAGGGCGCCCTACAAGTCCCTTCTCAAGGTGAATTAGTGTCTCGTACAGTGAGTTTCCTTGGTAAAATCAGGCTCTCGACTAAGTGAATTTCCCCAACTGACTGAACTAGAAAGAGATGCAGCATCAAGTGACAAAAAGCAGCTTTGGCTGACAAGTTGCCCCAACGAGGAGCAATTGAAGACAAAGTGGAAATGAGTCCTCCTGGGGGAAGATGTCACACAGCCCGGAAGGCACAGGAGCAAAGTCACAAGAGTGAAAGGTTGGTCTCACTGCCACTCATGGGTTTGTAAAGACTGCTGTTTGCACTTGTACATCATGCTTAAGAAACCAGAAAGTAAAACCACTGAGGACAGAGTCTCAGAGTTAAGTCAAAGACTCTGAACAAATTCACTTGTGTTGCTCCAGAGTCCTCAATATGAAAATGTAGAGGAGCAACCAGGAGTAAGGCAAGCTCTGAGTGCTGGAACAATAATGAAATGATGAAAATTTTTACCACCAATGGACACCCTACTATGTGCCAGGCTCGTGAAAACACTAATCCACGATAAGCATGTGAAATAGGTGACAGTAGCCCTGTTTTACAGATGTGAGGCTCAGAGATAGGTATTTGCCCCAAAGCACATAGCTGATTAAGGGCAGTCTACCTCTCTCCCTTCAGTGGGGCCAGATAATTCTGGGACAGCACGGTCTAGGCCCTCCAGTACTCCATGCCTATAAATAAAATAGAAACACCTTAGTCGTGTGCAAAACCACACCAAACTCCATCTTCACGTGCAAAGCCCTTCACACCTAATAGGATCCCTCTCTGATGGACTCATATCTGCCTGACCAGTAGTCACGTTGGGCCTCTGTCTGAGCTCAGGTGTTACTGCTCCTGTATCTCTGCTAACCACATTTCACAGTCTAAAGTGCCTTCCTCACCTCTCTGGGCTATTCAGTGGTACCTCTTCCCCTAGACCTACATCAAAACCCAATCCAGACCCTCCCGGGGCACTCTGGTACTTGTTGATTCCCACCACTTTATAAATCAGAATCCTTACACTGCGAGCTGACTGTCCTCTCGTCCCAACTATTTGTCTTGAAAAACAAGAGCATTCTACCCTTACGTAATGCACTTGTTCCCTTTAACTCTTCCACCATACCTGAGTCACAAGGCAAGTCCATCTGAATAAATCTAAAGGTTAGACAGTCCCCACTCACAAAAGCATTTTCTTCTCTCCCTCTTCCATCTTATCCCAGGCCACTCTGTTCTCAACTTCAAGATAAGGCCTGTCCTTGTGTTCTGCTGTAAATGTCACATACCTCTGCACTCTGACAAGAAATTGAAGGCATGGGGTGATGTAGACATGTGCCCTGCAGTGCCCAGAGGGCCTCTTGACACAATTTCTTTCCTGCAGAGGAATGAGAGGTTCACTGCCTTGCCTTTCGTTTCTCTTCTTTTAAAACACCTTTAATTTTCTGTCTGTCTACATATAAGATAATTTCAGTAAAACCATCAGATTTGGCTTTTAAGACCCAATCACTCACTGGGCACTGCTGTGCTGCCCTGGGTCAGTGGAGGATGCTTGAGGGTAAGGACTCTGGAGAACATTCTATGCACCATGTAAGCTGGACAAAATGGAACAATGGAGAAGCCATTGTCAGGGTCTCTTCAGAGGAACAATTTTGACCACAAATTCCAGTAAAGCTTTTCAACTTTATATCTACACATGGAGTTATGTACTCACAACAACCAAAAGACAAACATATTTATTCTTCGGCCAGTTTAATCTTTTGACAATAGATAATGAGGAAATTAGCTTTTTCTCTTCAGCTTCCAGGTTGGTGTATCTTTTAGCTAAAACTTTTGGACTAATTGTATTATTGTATAACACTCTGGGGTCCACAGAATCACACACACTACCCTGTCTGCCCTCTTCCCCTTCTGTGCTGCAGGCAATCAATAACTCTCATGATTTCTCCCTCCACTAACTGTTGGTTCCACTCATTTCTCTCTAAAACACTAAGCTTTGTT